GTGTGTGTGTGTGTGTGTGTGTGTGTGTGTGTGTGTGTGTGTGTGTGTGTGTTTTTGACCGTGTGAGGAAAAAAACTAAAAATCAGAAAAAAGGCATGAAAGATTTAATTTTTCATTTTTCACACGCATGTTTATTGAATTAGATTTTCTCTGGGTGTGGAGCTGAATATTTGAATGAAGTCTGTTTTCTATGAATATTTCTCAGTTGCTGAGAAAGGAGGAGTTGCTCAGCCAGCGGGAGCAGGACCTTCAGCAGAAGGAAGCTGAGCTCCAGTCAGCTAAAAGAGGTCTGTCTGAGTCTCGGGGGAAACTCCAGGCTCTGCAGCAGCAGCAGGCGGAGAGCTGCAGACTCAACTCTGAGTTTGAAATTGAACGGTAAGATGATCAATTATTAACTCACATATTCACACTATTTTATCTTGAACTTAACATGCAGCTACTTAGAAAAAAAGAAACTTTTGTTGTCAAATCTCAATAAGACAACATTTTAAATGCCTCTGATCAACTATCAACTGCAGAGAAGAACTGTTGCTGCTACGAGAAGAAGGTGAGAAGAAGAACAGTGAGCTGGAGGGACAGTGCCAGGAGCTGCAGTCAGTCATTCATCGGGTTTCTGAAGACTTCCAGACGGTCAGCTTCAAACACAAGCTGCACAGGATGTGCATTACCAAGCTTCTCAGTGATTCGTTCTCATCTTTCTTTGGTTTAGTCCCAGAATATGGTGTCATCTTTAGAGAAGTCCCTGCAGGAGCTACAGGCTGAAAATGACACCCTGAAGGTGCAACAGCAAAAGGTCAGAAGAAAAAGAGCCTACTGTTTCCATTAACCAAAAGGAAACAAGMCCATTCTAATGTCACAGATTGTGCATAAAGATAAGCTGAGATTTAATTAAGTTAGGTTTTTCAGTGGGAAACTTGTTCCTAGACATGTTTTCTGACTTCAGGCTGCTGTGACGGAGGAGGACAAGGAGCGCCTGCTAGTGGAACTTCAGAAAAAAGTTTCTTCTTTAGAGAGACGCCTGCAAGGGAACCTGAGCCAGTACGAGCACCTACAGGAGCTGCTGCAGGAGGTGTGTTTCTGTTACACTTCAGTTGTTCAGTGATAATAAATGAAAGACAAATGTGTAAAGATGTAGTTCTGACAACTAACAGTTCAGTTTTGATGTGAAATTGGAGGTTCTTGTTTCTTTTGTTCCAAAATATTTGGGAACAAGTTTTGTTTGAAGCTTTTATTTAAACATAGAAAAATGACTGGAACTGAAAAGTAATAATGGGGGAAATGACTTAGAATCAGATGATGCTTTTTAATTTTTCATTCAACCAGTACATCATTTAACAAAACAAAACTGTGCAGAATAGTGGACAAGTGGTTGGGGCCGTCTCAGTAAGGCTGCAGGATCACCTCCGTCCTGGGTCCTTTCTGCCTGAAGGTTACATGTTCTCCAGAACAAAAACATGCATGTTTGGTTCATTCTGTCCCACAAACTTTGTGTTATTTCACGGTGATGATTACTTGAATATATTTAGCATAAACAGCTGTTTCTGTTGTTGCCTTTTCAGAAATCCAGTCTGGAGTTCAGTCTGGAAGGAACCAGAGCAGAGTTGTTGGCTGTTCGGACAAACCATGCTGACACCGTCAGCTCTCTGGAAGCACAGGTAAGGCAGCTCATCTGTTGAAATGACCTCCTATTATAAGGGCTTCAAATGAATTAAATACAACCAGTTATGTGAGATGAAGGTCATGATTTATAGTAGAATCTGACAAAACTGGATACTAGGGTTGGGCAATATTGGCAAAAAAAATTAATCACTATTAATTGTGGTATTTAGCCGATAACAATTAATTTGACGATTAATCCCCTGGAGTCTCTGGACACCCTTATATCCTGGTCACATGACCAATTTATAGGGAGAAAATTGGCTCTTCGTAAAAATCTGTTCCAAATTGTGACAAAATTACAGACTTCAGGCTATACATCAAACTTTAAATTGTGTTGATAGATAAATAAATTACACATTTTTTAATGTTGGTCATATTTGAATCAGAGAGGAACACCAAGCGGTTAGTCTGCCWGGTGGCATTAATCGTATTAATCGTCAAGTGCCAAAAATTAATTGATTAATGTTTTTCTGACGATTAATTGCACACGATACGATTATGCCCAACCCTACTGGATACACATCTGTTGGATAAATTAATTATCAAGACACAAGGAATGACAAACAAGCAGCAGATCTGGCTGAGCTCTTTTTTACTTGTGGCAAGGAATTCATATACAGACAAGGTACAATGCATACTATGTCAAGAACATGAGCTGAATTTCTGTACAACAGTCAGGTTTTTAAAGAGTCCCCTTCAAAGGGGGTTGAGTGTCCTGTTATATGACTCTGCAATCTCCTTTTCTCCCCAGGCACTACCCAAACAGTTCATCTATTTGGCCCACCAGCTTAATAGCGCATCGTAAACCTAATTCTACTCTACAACCTACAAAGATAAACATTCACATCTGTGTTTTTACACACAACATTCCCATCCACAAGCCATGAATTCAGTTAAAGTAGATAAACACAGATCAACAGCATTAATATATCACACAATTAGATGAACCGTAATATTTTAAAACACAATTTAACCATTGTTAATTGTTCAGAATCTAACAGTTCTTTTGAATGGATCTATGAAACGAACGGCTCCTCATGATCCAGATCCCTTCAAAGAGCCACTTATCCCTTCTCTACCGTGTGCTGAATGTATTCTGTTGTATACTGTATTTTAATGAAATACTTGACTTTAAACAGAAACTGATCTACAGAGGGTACGCTATGAGTTCTGGCAGCTTAAAKCATTTGAAAGAGAGGACAGGTTGTGTCGTAAACATAATGTATTCACTTCAAAGCTGCATTAGCCAGAAATCTTTACTCAAAAAAATCATTTCTACTGTCAGGTTTAGCCAGCCTCAAGGAATTCATGTATTCTGTACCAAACTCTAGCAGACTCTATTACAGTTCGATATTATTATATCTAAATATTTACCTCAATAATAGAAATCATCCAGAAAAACTTTTACCTGAATATCTGTAAGCTTTGCTGGTCCCTGGGTAGTAAGGGGTTAAAAACTCTCTGCAGTTGGATGCAAATCCATTCATGTTTTGGTTCAACTTCCACTTTACAGAAAAAATAATAATAATAATCTTCGATTTTAGCATTCAGAGCAAACAAACAGATGTTGCAGTCCAGCTCGTGTTCTATTTGTTTTAGCTGATATTTTTCTCTAATGTACAGCAGAAGAATGAGGTGGTGGGTTTACAGGTTCCCCTGCAGAGTGACAGAAGTACTGCCTGTCTCACTTCAGGCTTTTTAAGCATGGTTTTATATCACATCAGTGTGATTTAATATATAATACATGTGAAATACATTAGCACCCATAGAAAAAACTGACATCTTATACAAGTATCTACAAACATATATAT